GAGATCGATTGGGAGAACTTGGAGCCACATGGGGCCAAGATACATGGAGGGCTAAGATGATGGAGGTGGCACTGGGAAAACTTCATGTACCAACACGTAAGGGACACTACAAGAGAGAAGGAGAGGATGAGCCAGCAAGGCTGGACTTAGTATTCACCTTGAGTAGCAGATTTTCGAGGACATCACATATGAAAGACCCCTTGGGGCCAGCGATCGTGTGGTTTTAAGCTTCGAATAACACAGTAGAGCTACAAGGGAGGGAAAGCAGGAAGGCCAGGACAAATGAAGCCAAACTAAAAAGAAAGGGGACAACACAGGAATAGGAACTCCTGAACGGGTTCAGTGGGACAGAGAACTGGCAGGGAAGCCAGTTAATGAGATGAGGGAATATGTAGCAACAAAATGCAAGAGGCTGAGGAGAGGTTTGAAACCCAAGGGGTAACGGGAATAATGAAAAAGCCAGGATGAGCCCAGGGTTTTACCCAATGGTGCAAGGGGGCAAAACCAAGTGTGCTGGGGAATGGAAGAAATATAGAAGGCAAAGGACCCAGGAGAATAAGGAAGCAGTCGTAGAGCCAGAAACGAATATGCACAGATAGAAGGGGAGGCCCAGCGTAAATATGAAAACGACATAGCAGCAAAAGCCAAATCTGCCCCAAAAAGCTGTTATACACCCACATCAGGAAGAAAACAACCGTCAAGGACCATGTAATCAGGCTAAGGAAGGAAGGAGAGAGACAACAAGAAATGACCGTGAAGTATGTGAGGAACTCAACAAGAGATTCAAAGAAGTGTTCACAGAGGAGACAGAAGGGCTCCAGAAAGACGGAGAGGTGGGGTACAACCACCATGTGCTGGACACAGAAACACACAACCGAGGAAGAAGTGAAGAGGCTTCTGAGTGAGCTAGATACCTCAAAGGCAAGGGGCCAGATAACATCTCTCCATGGTCCTGAGAGAGGGAGCAGGGGCGCTATGTGTACCACTAACAACAATATTCAATACATCTATCGAAACAGGGAGATTGCCTGAGGCATGGAAGACAGCAAATGTAGTCCCAATCTTTAAAAAAGGAGACAGACATGAAGCATTAAACTACAGCCAGTATCACATGACATTATAGTATCCCAAAATCATGGAGAAGATTATCAGGAGAAGATGGGTGGAACACCTAGAAAGGAACGATCTCATCAACAGCAGCCAACATGGTTTCGGGGACGGAAATCCTGGCCCACAAACCTACTGGAGTTCTATGACATGGTAAACAGCAGTAAAACAAGAGAGAGAGGGGTGGTGGATTGCATTTTCTTGGACTGCAAGAAGGCGTTTTTTGACACAGTTCCACACAAGAGATTGGTGCAAAAACTGGAGGACCAAGCAAGGGATAACAGGGAAGGCACTACAATGGATCAGGGAATACTTGTCAGGAAGACAAGCAGCGAGTCATGGTACGTGGCGAGGTGTCAGAGTGGGCACCTGTGACCACGGGGTCCCGCAGGGGTCAGTCCTAGGACCAGTGCTGTTTCTGGTATTTGTGAACGACATGACGGAAGGAATAGACTCTGAGGTGTCCCTGTTTGCAGATGACGTGAAGTTGATGAGAAGAATTCCTCGATCGAAGACCACCCAGAACTACAAAGGGATCTGGACAGGCGGGCAGACCTGGTCCAGCAATTGGCTCCTGGAGTTCAATCCACCAAGTGCAAAGTCATGAAGATTGGGAAGGGCAAAGAAGGCCCGCAGAGGGAGTACAGTCTAGGGGGTCGAGACTACAAACCTCACTCAAGGAAAAAGATCTTGGGGTGAGTATAAACACCAGGCACATCGCCTGAAGCGCACAAACAACCAAATAACGCTGCAGCATATGGGCGCTTAGCAAATCTCAGAACAGCATTCCGACATCTTAATAAGGAATCATTCAGGACCCTGTACACCGTGTACGTTAGGCCCATAAATTGGGGTATGCGGCACCAGTTTGGAACCCACACCTAGGCCAAGCACGTGAAAAAAACTAGAGAAAGTGCAAAGGTTTGCAACAAGATTAGTCCCAGAGCAAGAGGTATGTCCTACGAGGAGAGGTTAAAGGGGAAAACAACCTGAAGACACTGGGGGGACAGGAGAGATAGGGGGGACATGATAACGACATACAAAAATACTGAGAGGAATTGACAAGGGGACAAAGACAGGATGTTCCAGAAAATTGGACACAGTAACAAGGGGACACAGTTGGAAGCTGAAGAACAGATGAATCACAGGGGTGTTAGGAAGTAATTTCTTCAGCCACAGAGTAGTCAGTAAGTGGAAATAGTTTGGGAAGCGATGTAGTGGGGGCAGGATCCATACATAGCTTTAAGCAGAGATATGAAAAAAGCTCACGGCTCAGGGAGAGTGACCTAGTAGCGATCAGTGAAGAGGCGGGGGCCCGGAGCTCGGACTCGACCCCCGCAACCTCAACTAGGTGAGTACACACACACATATATACACACACACACACACACACAACCAAAACACACACACACACACACACACACACACACACACACACACAGACACACCCCACCCCCAAAACAACACACACACACAACACACACACACACACACACACAACACACACAGACACACACACACACACACACACACACACACACACCACACACACACACACACGCACACACACCACACACACACTCACACACACACACACACACACACCACACAGAGGGAAACACACAGACACACACACACCCCAAGGTGGACAAAGACAGGATTTTTCCAGGGAGGGGACACAGAAACAAGAGGCCACAATTGGAAGTTGAAGACCACAAATGAGTCAGAGAAATAGTAAAAAGGGATTTTTTTCAGTCATAGAGTTGTAAGGCAGTGGAATAGCCTAGAAAATGACGTAGTGGAGGCAGGAACCATACACAGTTTTAAGACGAGGTTTGATAAAGCTCATGGAGCGGCGAGAGAGAGGGCCTAGTAGCAACCGGTGAAGAGGCGGGGCCAGGAGCTAGGACTCGACCCCTGCAACCACAAATAGGTGAGTACAAATAGGTGAGTACACACACACACACACACACACACACACACACACACACACACACACTCAGCCAGGAGCTGAGTCTCGACCCCTGCAACTACAGTTAGGTGAGTACACAGTAGATATATTAGCAAAATGTATGGAAATATATATTTCCCTGATGTAGTTGACGTTATTATATCCAACGACTCACCACATGTTGAGGGAGGGGGGGAAGGAGGGGGAGGGGCAAGGAGGGGGAGGGGCAAAAGGGGGGGAGAGGGGGGCAAAGGGCAGGGAGGGGGGCAAAGACGGTAAGAGACAGTGGGGACACAGTGGATGAGGAGACGAGGAGGAGTCAGTGAGGAGGAAGAGGAGGATGGAAGGGGAGGAGAGGAGAGGAGGGGAAGAAAGGAGGAGGAGGAGGGGAAGAAAGGAGGAGGAGGAGGGGAAGAAAGGAGGGGGGAGGAGGAGGAACTGGAGATGACGAAGAGGGAAGCGTCACCATGACGACCACTGTATCAAAACATGATTAGAGGAAACCACCTCTACACTACCCCCCCCCCCCCTCCAGTTTGGTGTGGTGAAGATGGTGGTAATAATGGTGGTGGTGGTGGTAGATAGTGGTGATAGTGGTGGTGATGGTAGATAGTGGTGGTGGTAGCAGAGAGGAAGAGCAGAGTGGAGACGAAGAACTTTATCCACGGAGGAGAGAGTCGGGCAAATGTATCAGGATATAGTGGTACCAACAGTTTCACATGGGTGTGAAGCATGGGTTTTAAACGTTGCAGCGAGGAGGAGGCTAGTGGTAGTAGAAATGTGTTTGAGGGCAATATGTAGTGTGAGTATTATGCAGGGAAAATTCGCACTTTCGAAATTAGAACGTGCGGGTTTATCAAAAAGTATTATTCAGAAGGCTGAGGAGGGGTGGTTGATGTGGTTTGGACATTCTGGAGAGGATAGAGCAGAACAGGATGACTAGGAGGGGGTACAAATCTAGGAGAGAGAAAAAGAGGAGTAAGGGTCGTCCTAGGAAACGTTGAAGGGAGGGGGAAATGTTGGTTTTGTGTGCTAAGAGCTTGGACATGCAAATGGTTTGTGTGAGCGTGGTAGATAGGAGTGAGTGGAGACTATTGTATTTTTTATGACTTATCGTGCTGTTGGATTGTGAGGAAGATAACATGTATGAAGGAACTCAGTAAAACCGGTTACTCGGACTTGAGTCCTGGAGTATACATGGAGGGTGTTCTGGAGGTCAACGCCCCCGCTGGCCGGTCCATGACCAGGTCTCCTGGTGGATCAGGGACTGATTAACCAGGCTGGGAGGTGGGAAATACAGTCTATATCCTGAAGGATGAATCTGGGTGTAGAATGTGGTGCTAGCTTGGAACTAGGGGAGAGAGAGAGAGAGAGAGAGAGAGAGAGAGAGAGAGTGAGGATATTACAAAAGGTGAAGACACTGACACGCTCACGGTCAAATTACGAATTAATTTCACCTCATCTTCACCAGAAGAGTGCTAGTGAGTGGGAAAAGTGAGAGAGGTAATTAGGCTACCCAGGTGACCAGTGCTGCTGCTGCTCTCTCTCTCTCTCTCTCTCTCTCTCTCTCTCTCTCTCTCTTTCTTTCTTTAAATTAATGAATAGTGAAATAGGTGTCTCCCTGAATGAGGGATACTGAAAGATGCAAAACGTAGAGTGTCTGAGTGACAGGTAGAGTGTCTGAGTGACAGGTAGAGTGTCTGAGTGACAGGTAGAGTGTCTGAGTGACAGATATTGTCTGAGTGACAGGTAGAGTGTCTGAGTGGACAGGTAGCGTGTCTGAGTGACAGGTATAATATATATAATATATATATATATTTTTATATATATATATATATTATTTTATATATATAATTATATATATAATATATTATAATGAGTGTGTGTATATAATGTATATATTATGGGTTGGTATGTGTGTAACATGTGTGTGTTTCAACAGTGTGGACAAAGATGAGGTGACGTTCCACATCAAGGTGAACACTGAGGGCATCACAGCAGCTGACGTCGCTAAGAAGACTGGTGAGTATCTTACCTTTTGTCTTGTGTTGTTCTCCTCTACACGGTGGCTGTTCTTCTCTTGTTCTCCTCTACACGGTGGTTGTTCTTCTCTTGTTCTCCTCTATACGGTGGTTGTTCTTGTGTTGTTCTCCTCTACACGGTGGTTGTTCTTGTGTTGTTCTCCTCTACACGGTGGTTGTTCTTCTCTTGTTCTCCTCTACACGGTGGTTGTTCTTGTGTTGTTCTCCTCTATACGGTGGTTGTTCTTGTGTTGTTCTCCTCTACACGGTGGTTGTTCTTGTGTTCTCCTCTACACGGTGGTTGTTCTTCTCTTGTTCTCCTCTACATGGTGGTTGTTCTTGTGTTGTTCTCCTCTACACGGTGGTTGTTCTTGTGTTGTTCTCTACACGGTGGTTGTTCTTGTGTTGTTCTCCTCTACATGGTGATTGTTCTTGTGTTGTTCTCCTCTACACGGTGGTTGTTCTTGTGTTGTTCTCTACACGGTGGTTGTTCTTGTGTTGTTCTCCTCTACACGGTGGTTGTTCTTGTGTTGTTCTCTACACGGTGGTTGTTCTTGTGTTGTTCTCCTCTACACTGTGGTTGTCTTGTGTTGTTCTCTACACGGTGGTTGTTCTGTGTTGTTCTCCTCTACACGGTGGTTGTTCTTGTGTTGTTCTCCTCTACACGGTGGTTGTTCTTGTGTTGTTCTCTACACGGTGGTTGTTCTTGTGTTGTTCTCCTCTACATGGTGGTTGTTCTTGTGTTGTTCTCCTCTACACGGTGGTTGTTCTTGTGTTGTTCTCTACACGGTGGTTGTTCTTGTGTTGTTCTCCTCTACACGGTGGTTGTTCTTGTGTTGTTCTTCTCTACACGGTGGTTGTTCTTGTGTTGTTCTCCTCTACACTGTGGTTGTTCTTGTGTTGTTCTCTACACGGTGGTTGTTCTTGTGTTGTTCTCCTCTACACTGTGGTTGTTCTTGTGTTGTTCTCCTCTACACGGTGGTTGTTCTTGTGTTGTTCTCCTCTACATGATGGTTGTTCTTGTGTTGTTCTTCTCTACACTGTGGTTGTTCTTGTGTTGTTCTCTACACTGTGGTTGTTCTTGTGTTGTTCTTCTCTACACTGTGGTTGTTCTTGTGTTGTTCTTCTCTACACGGTGGTTGTTCTTGTGTTGTTCTTCTCTACACTGTGGTTGTTCTTGTGTTGTTCTCTACACGGTGATTGTTCTTGTGTTGTTCTTCTCTACACTGTGGTTGTTCTTGTGTTGTTCTTCTCTACACTGTGGTTGTTCTTGTGTTGTTCTTCTCTACACTGTGGTTGTTCATGTGTTGTTCTCCTCTACACTGTGGTTGTTCTTGTGTTGTTCTTCTCTACACGGTGGTTGTTCTTGTGTTCTTCTCTACACGGTGGTTGTTCTTGTGTTGTTCTCCTCTGCACAGTGGTTGTTCTTGTGTTGTTCTCCTCTACACGGTGGTTGTTCTTGTGTTGTTCTCCTCTGCACAGTGGTTGTTCTCCTCTGCACAGTGGTTGTTCTTGTGTTCTCCTCTACACGGTGGTTGTTCTCCTCTGCACAGTGGCTGTTCTTGTGTTCTCCTCTACACGGTGGTTGTTCTTGTGTTGTTCTCCTCTGCACGGTTGCTGTTCTTGTGTTGTTCTCCTCTACACGGTGGTTGTTCTTGTGTTCTCCTCTACACGGTGGTTGTTCTTGTGTTGTTCTCCTCTGCACGGTTGCTGTTCTTGTGTTGTTCTCCTCTACACGGTGGTTGTTCTTGTGTTGTTCTCCTCTACACGGTGGTTGTTCTTGTGTTGTTCTCCTCTGCACGGTTGCTGTTCTTGTGTTGTTCTCCTCTACACGGTGGTTGTTCTTGTGTTCTCCTCTACACGGTGGTTGTTCTTGTGTTGTTCTCTACACGGTGGTTGTTCTTGTGTTGTTCTCCTCTGCACAGTGGTTGTTCTTGTGTTGTTCTCCTCTGCACAGTGGTTGTTCTTGTGTTCTCCTCTACACGGTGGTTGTTCTCCTCTGCACAGTGGCTGTTCTTGTGTTGTTCTCCTCTACACGGTGGTTGTTCTTGTGTTGTTCTCCTCTACACGGTGGTTGTTCTTGTGTTGTTCTCCTCTGCACGGTTGCTGTTCTTGTGTTGTTCTCCTCTACACGGTGGTTGTTCTTGTGTTGTTCTCCTCTACACGGTGGTTGTTCTTGTGTTGTTCTCCTCTACACGGTGGTTGTTCTTGTGTTGTTCTCCTCTGCACGGTTGCTGTTCTTGTGTTGTTCTCCTCTACACGGTGGTTGTTCTTGTGTTGTTCTCCTCTGCACGGTTGCTGTTCTTGTGTTGTTCTCCTCTACACGGTGGCTGTTCTTGTGTTGTTCTCCTCTGCACAGTGGCTGTTCTTGTGTTGTTCTCCTCTACACGGTGGTTGTTCTTGTGTTGTTCTCCTCTACACGGTGGTTGTTCTTGTGTTGTTCTCCTCTGCACGGTTGCTGTTCTTGTGTTGTTCTCCTCTGCACGGTGGTTGTTCTTGTGTTGTTCTCCTCTACACGGTGGTTGTTCTTGTGTTGTTCTCCTCTACACGGTGGTTGTTCTTATTTTGTTCTCCTCTGCACGGTGGTTGTTCTTGTGTTGTTCTCCTCTACACGGTGGTTGTTCTTATTTTGTTCTCCTCTACACGGTGGTTGTTCTTGTGTTGTTCTCCTCTACACGGTGGTTGTTCTTGTGTTGTTCTCCTCTACAAAGGGATAACCGGCAGAGTAGGCAGATGGATCTTCAACTTTCTAACCAATCGCACACAAAGAGTAGTGGTAAACAGAGTTAAATCAGATGCTGCCATAGTGAAGAGCTCTGTCCCACAAGGCACAGTACTCGCACCTATCCTGTTCCTTATTCTCATATCAGACATAGACAGACATGTAAACCACAGCGCTGTATCATCTTTTGCAGACGATACTAGGATCTGCATGATAGTGTCACCCACTGAGGACACTGTTAACCTCCAAGATGTTATAAACCAAGTTTTCCAATGGGTAACGGAGAACAATATGATGTTCAATGAAGACAAATTCCAACTACTCCGTTATGGAAAACTGAAGGAAATAATAACTAGAACTGAGTATACTACAAACTCCAATCACACAATAGAGAGGAAAAGTAATGTGAGAGACCTGGGAGTGGTAATGTCAGAGGATCTCACCTTCAAGGATCACAACAATGCCACTATCACATCTGCTAGGAAACTGATAGGATGGATAATGAGAACATTCAAGACAAGAGATGCTAAGCCAATGATGATCCTTTTTAAATCACTTATTCTTTCTAGGTTGGGATACTGCTGTACATTAACATCCCCATTCAAGGCAGGTGAAACTGCAGAGCTAGAGAATGTACAGAGAACCTTTACTGCACGTATAGGTTCCGTCAAACACCTTAACTACTTGGAACGCCTGGAAGCACTTGACTTGTACTCACTAGAGCGCAGGCGAGAGAGATATATCATAATCTACACCTGGAAGATTCTGGAGGGACTGGTCCCTAATATGCACACAGCAATCACTCCATACGAAAGCAAAAGACTTGGCAGGCGATGCAACATACCTCCAGTGAAAAGTAGCGGCGTCACTGGTACACTAAGAGAAAACACAATAAGTGTCCGGGGCCCAAGACTTTTCAACAGCCTCCCACCAGCAATAAGGGGCATTACGGGAAGACCCCTGGTTGTCTTCAAGAGGGAGCTGGACAGATACCTAAAGACGGTGCCGGATCAGCCGGGCTGTGGTTCGTACGTTGGATTACGTGCGGCCAGCAGTAACAGCCTCGTTGATCAGGCCCTGATCCACAAGGAGGCCTGGTCGTGGACCGGGCCGTGGGGACGTTGATCCCCGGAATGCCCTCCAGGTAGACGGTGGTTGTTCTCCGTTACACGGTGGTTGTTCTTGTGTTGTTCTCCTCCACTTGAACCACAGTAATGTTGATAAATGGTTCAGAGAACCGACAAGTTGATAAATTAGACACATGTGCAACACTTGGGTATCTTTATTGTGGCTTCATCAGTCCAATACAAAGAAGAATTCTGAAGATCAGAAGGAGTTTGAGTTAATCAGTCCCTCAGCCTTGAGCCTATTACATCGACTCCAGTATGATGTTCTTGAGGTGACTGTTGGGTTCTTGAGGTGACTCCTGGGTTCTTGAGGTGACTCCTGGGTTCTTGAGGTGACTCCTGGGTTCTTGAGGTGACTCCTGGGTTATTGAGGTGACTAGTGGGTTCTTGAGGTGACTCCTGGGTTCTTGAGGTGGCCACTGGGTTCTTGAGGTGACTCCTGGGTTCTTGAGGTGACTCCTGGGTTCTTGAGGTGGCCCCTGGGTTCTTGAGGTGACTCCTGGGTTATTGAGGTGACTCCTGGGTTCTTGAGGTGACTCCTGGGTTCTTGAGGTGACCCCTGGGTTCTTGAGGTGACTCCTGGGTTCTTGAGGTGGCACCTGGGTTCTTGAGGTGACTCCTGGGTTCTTGAGATGATTCCTGGGTTTTTGAGGTGACTCCTGGGTTCTTGAGGTGGCCCCTGGGTTCTTGAGGTGGCCCCTGGGGTCTTGAGGTGACTCCTGGGTTCTTGAGGTGACACCTGGGTTCCTGAGGTGGCTCCTGGGTTCTTGAGGTACCCCTGGGTTCTTGAGATGACTCCTGGGTTTTCTTGAGGTGGCTCCTGGCTTCTTGAGGTGACTCCTGGTTTCTTGAGGTGACTCCTGGGTTCTTGAGGTGACTCCTGGGTTCTTGAGGTGACTCCTGGTTCTTGAGGTGACTCCTGGGTTCTTGAGGTGACTCCTGGGTTCTTGAGGTGGCTCCTGGCTTCTTGAGGTGACTCCTGGTTTCTTGAGGTAACTCCTGAGTTCTTGAGGTGACTCCAGGGTTCTGAGGTGACTGATGGTTCTTGAGGTGACTGTTGGGTCTTGAGGTGACTCCTGGGTTTTTAGAAGTGACTCCTGGGTTCTTGAGGTGACTCCGGGGTTCTTGAGGTGACTCCTGGGTTCTTGAGGA